TTTCCTATATCACAGGTCATTTCTCCACTAGCAAGCATCTTTTAGAATCATCCCAACATTGATGTGCCATGATTAACAATAAAGAGGACAAATTTTACATCACTGCAGTGATAAGTGGATGATGCTATGAAAACATTTTTTAAGACACTCACTAGTGGGGCAATGGCCATAGCCTTTTTCTCCATACATAAGTTCTAGCTCAGAGATAATTTTGTAGTCTAAAAATATTAGTACTGGGGAAATGTTATATTTAAACTTACCAAAAAAATTGTAAGTGCTCCTTGATAGTAGAAGAAACCACAAAAATTGTCTAACTATTTATATACATTTGGAAACTGCATTGCTTGCCTTGTTAAGGATCTTTGCTTCTTTTTTTTAACAAAAATATTTATTGTGATCTTATAAAAATAACAAAATAAGAAAGCAGCATCAAAACCTTGAACATTTGGGGGGGAATTGTTTCTCTACACTAAATTAGTTTAGGAGCTCTAGTTGCCCAGAGCGACTGTTATATTCATACAAGACTGGGCTGTAATTACACCGGAAAAAGCACAGTTCTAAAAGTCTAGGATGCTTTCACATGATGGCCTGCAGCCATTTTGATTCTTCCAAACCATGGAGAGAAAATCTTGTTGTCGTGGCTGAGAAGCACCTCACTCCTCTCTCTTGTTCTGAATGGTCTTGTTTGTGTCAGTCTGCAGCTGTGTATGGTTTTATGTCTTATAATCCTTCATCACCTCTATCCTATCAAGTCATATCTAAAGTAGAAAATTAGTTTCCAGTGAAAGTAATATGTAGTGCTTTTATGATATTTGTGTGCAATATCCCCTCTTCCATTGAGGATATTTGATGTAAAGGAAATAAGCTCAGTTCCACAATAAAAAATTAAAATAGTTCAAGTCTTGTTGGTTTTTTTTTCCTTTTATTTGTAAAGATGCAATTTCCATCTAAAAGAATCACAATCACGCTATTCCCTTTTTAAATATATAAATTTAAAATAAATATTTGTATTTATAGTAGATGTTCTAGTCAATAGAACTATACTAGAATAAGTAAGAACTATATCATTGTATCATTTTCATGAACAGATATGCCCTTTCCTATTCAATGGGGTGCTTATGAAGTGCTAATTTTGCAGTTCTAATATTTTGCACCTATAGCTGTCCAGCTTTTGCCAAACTACAACTTCCCAGCATCTCTCTCTATTGGCCAGGTTGAATAAAAACTCAGTGCTTCCCTTGCTTTGAAGGTGGAGTTAAACTACTATGATTTAAGGTTCCTACTGAAGCAGTATTATCAATTCTCACCAACCTGACCTATTGAAAAATGGAACGCTTTAGCAATAAGAAATCCTAATTTGAGTCAAAGATTTCACCAATATATTGTTAGCAATTTGTTCACTTTGGCGGAATCTACAGGAGCTATGGGGAAATTATACTAAAATTAATGAACAATTAGTTAATTAAACTGCTTGCTTGCCAATACAACCTTTCAATATATTGTAGGAAAATGGGATATTTGGCCCTAAATCTGCTTTGTAAAGTAGTAAACACCAAAGATTCTCACTTTGGTGTTATTGTTTGACAGCAAAGAAACATAATTTCAATTATAGCAAGTTTGCATTTTAACTAGGGCTGAAAATTATGTAGTTCAATCATTAAGCAATAGCAGATTACTCATATGGGAAGAACTACAAATTCTTGATCCGTTTTTGGCTTATATAAGGCAAATTTCTTTAGAACACATTTTTTACAAAGTAGCAAAAATTATTTATTTTAAGGATTTTTCCTGTAAGTTCCAACAACAGTACCTGACATTATATGTTGAATCTCAATTCAAAGACTTGTTTTTTAAAGAAGGTCTTCTGAAAGGCCACACGCCTCTTCTGGCAAAACAGCCATTTCTGCTTAAGCCTCCTTGTAAATACAATATCCTATCACATAGGAAAGGTTTTTTTGATTGACTAAACTTAAAGTTTAATATAAATGAATAGATTACATTTATATTCCGCCTTGTCTTTGAAAGACTAAGGTAATCAGCAGAGATCTTATTTTCATTTTGATCCATGACAACCCTATGAAACTTCTGAGAGGATGACTCTTAACTCTAAAAGTTCATGACTGAGAATGCCTTGAATGTTGGTCTCAATCCTAATCCAATATTTTAACAATTAACCCCACTGGTGCCACATCCCTGACTCACGTTTCTTGAAATTAGGAGCTGAAGCAAGGGATGCTCAAAGATGAAAAGTCATTGTGTAGTCTAGGGCAGCAACTCAAGAGGACAAGGACTACTAATTTTTCAGATTTAAGAGGACAAATCCATTATACACTAAATTCATCTTTTCTACTTAGCTATGACCCATAGACTGGATCTTGTTGTATTGTTCTCTATGAATAAGTTTACTAATGTTTATTTATTTACCAGTTGTAATGATATTATCCTGTGTCTGGGACAGCCAAGCACTAACAGTGATCTGAGACAAAAGGAAATCCTCTTCCAGTCAGTGTTGATTCTTGGTGACTGCCTAAATTAGAGCCCACAGTTTTCTTGGCAAGATTTTCAGACATGGTTTCTTGCCGATGCCTCCTTCTTAGGGCTGAGAGAGAGTGACTTACCCAGGAATACTTAGCTGCCTTTGTGCTGAAGATGGAACTAGAACTTAGTCTCCTGGTTTCTAGCCTGGTACCTTAACTATTAGTCTAAATTGGTTCTCTTTCATTGGCTTAAAGGCTACTTTTTAGCATGCTTGCATAATCATTTGACTAAGACAGGAAACAGGAAAAAAAAGAAAAACCAAAGAATTCGATAGAAATTTCTATAACACCAGTTTGGAGAAACAAGCAGCTAATTGGTGACATTCTCTGAATAAAAGACAGCAAAGGCAAATTGGATGGTTCTATAGAAAATAGGACTCTGTAAAACAGAAAAGATAGAAAGAAATAAAAACAGCAGTAAATGATAAAGTTGGAATTCCAACAAAACTAGAATGACAGAGGGTAATTCCCATTAGGAGTTACTATGGTTCAGTCCATAAATCAGAATAAGTTAGACCTCAGTATCTGATTCAACAACTCCTCCCAAATGTTCCTGTCCTAACTGCTTTTTAACATCAAATGCAATATCATTCTTAGAAAGTAACAAGAAACGGGTTCCTCCCTAGTGGTCTTCTCACTCTAGAACAGTGGTTCTCAACCTTTTTAATGCTGCGGTCGTAAGTCGAGGACTACCCAACCAGTCGTAAGTCGAGGACTACCCAACCGGTCGTAAGTCAAGGACTACCCAACCGGTCGTAAGTTGAGGACTTTCCCTGCCCGGGAGCGCTGCGCATGCGTGGTGCCGCCCCCTGCGCTGGCCAAGGCGTAGCTGGCAAGCGGCAGAGACAGTGCAAGCCGACCACCGGCTGGGCCAGCAGCTGGCCCAGCCCAAGGGAGGTAAGGCACCCCGCCGGGCCCCATGCGTGCCAGCAACCCTCCCTGTGCCCGCCAGCCTCCCACCTCCCACCCCTGGCCCTCTTTTACTTACATTTTTAGTAGTTGCTCAGCAGGGAGGGGTGAAAACTTCCAGATAGCTCGCCTTCGCTGCAGAGAACTTGCAGCACCGTTTGCAGAATGGGACTTTTGGCGGGCTCAGCAGGGCAGAGACAGCCTGGACAATTCCTATTCGCTCTCTATTCAAGAGAGTCTATTCTATTGGCTTTCAAAAGCCAATAGAATAAAAGGGAGTAGCACAGCCAAGGAAAAGGGGAAAAAAATTGGCAGACTGCCTTGTTTGGCGACCCCCATGAAATGGTCGTTTGACCCCAAATGGGGTCCCGACCCACAGGTTGAGAACCACTGCTCTAGAAAGTTTCTCAAAGATTGCTTGGCACATAATGTAACGTAATATAGTATATAAGTAGTTTTAGGTTAACAATGGCAATTGGAACCGAACTTGCCATTGCTAAATACCAAGGTCATAAAGTGCATCAGTGAGTTAGTGCTTAGTGATGGCAATTCCTTTTCTGTTGTGGCCCCCACCCTCTGGAATATTCTGTTGGAGGTGAAGCCTCCCCCCCACCCACACAACATATGCCTGACCTTCCAGAAGATCCTGAAGATTTGGCTCTGCCGCTTGGCTTATTATGTTTGGGGATATCTTGACTTGATAGAGGTGGTTTCCACTTCTAGCACCCCCCCCCCCAGTCTTGGTTTTTAACTTTTATTTCATCTTCTAATTTTAATTGTCCTGTAGTACTCTTTTACTTTTATCATATCATAAGCTACTCAAAGTCACTGTATATGTGAAATGGGGGCTATAAAAATTTAATAAATAAATAAGTTCTGATGGTTTTATTACTGTTATCAAGAAACGACCATGAGGGATGATAAGCAAAGACCTCACATGATCACAACCTCTGACTTACTGCTGGCTTCTTCCCTTTCACTTATGGGAAGCTGAGAGGAAAGATCACAAATCATGATCACGTGTTCACAAGGATGCCATGACAACTGGAACTTCAAGCACTGTTGAAAATACCACTCATTCAGGGCTGTCACAAGTTCAAATGATCACTGAATGAATGGATATAAGCCAAGAGCTACCTGTATTATACCATACTTTCCGGCGTATAAGACGACTTTTGTAAGCGTTAAAATCTGCGCCGAAGTCGGGGGTCATCTAATACGCCAGAAATAACGGTAGTTTCTGGCGTATAAGACTTTACTAGGCATGCGACTCAGCGCCGAAGTCAGGGATCGTCTTATACGCCAGGTCGCCTTATACACCAGACTATACAGTACTTAAAGTATATGAATAGCTGTCCAATTTGAACAATGAGGGCCTGTGTGGCATACACTAAACCAGGAAACAAAGATGTAAAAACAAAATACAAAATGCCAACTAAAAACAAACATAAATCAATCAGCGATCAGGAACTAAATCTATTGCATTCTTCCATACGTATTAGCTCCTGATGGCACGTTTAGTTTTATATTTAAACATCAACTTTGGCAAGAAGATTGACATAACCAAATGAAGATTTATTTTATTGAGATTTTTACTATGTTGTATTATAAAAGTGTACAGTGCCTTCCTAGGTAGAGTCCAGGTCGGCCTCTTTTTCTCTTATTTGTTAGTAATAGGACTTGCAATCTGTCCTATTTCAAGGACTGAGAAGGGCTGACCCAGATTAATATTCACAGATCACAGCAGAATAGATTATTTCTTATTCTCTGAACTCCCCTTTAACTCCCAAGTTGGAAAGCGTGAATATATGTACACATTCAAATTACATTTATTTATTGTTTTCTCTGAATTCTAAACTATCAGCAATGCTTGTCAGTAACTATCATGAAAAATAGTATATGCTGACGATGAAAAATGTTCTTCTGAATATACTATCTCACTCCAACATTTTAGAAAGGAACCATTTGATTAAATGACAGATTTTTGTTCTCAGACACAACAGAGGTAATATATACTTTCAGAAGAACAGTAATAATAATAGATTTCGGAGACGGGGATGACATATAGCCTGGATCATGTAAAGATTTAATGTGTGGACAGCCAAGTCTGTATTGCAATAAAGTACTAGACAGGATGAGACTCTGCTTATTGCCAAGACAATTTAAGGCGTAACGGAAGTCTATAAGCAAAACCATCATGTGGCTGCATTTGTTTTTTTTCGGCTTTCCATCATTTCCTTAGCTTTTTCTTTCATTTCTTTCTCCCTTTCAATCAGCATTGTTTGCTCTTTATCCCACTCCTCAAGTTTCTCTTTGTATTTTGTAATGTCTTCCTCTTCAGATGCTGGTAGCTTCTCCTCAACAAGTTGAGTAGTCAGAGTTAACAGCTTCCTAGATTCCAACTTGCCAAGGGAGTGAAGTTTAGAATTCAGCTCCTGTCATGGTTGGCATAAGAGAGAAAGAAAAGGAAAGAAACAGTTAATCAGTTTCACTACTTCTAAATAGACTGCCCTGGCCTATATAATCTTTCCTTCCTTTGGAACTGGAATTTGACATTCTACAAGTAGGCTTATGACAGCTGATTCACATTTATTCTTGGAAAATTGCCCTGGCCACAATAAATGAGCATTCAGCCTTTCCCAAAAGGAAAAACCAAACAAAGCCATGCAATGGTTTATATTTCAGATATTGGGTAGATGTTTTAGCATTATGTAGTGGGGTATTGTGGTTGTTTTTGTTTGTTAGTCTTTGTTTTTTGCTGTAATCTGTCCTGCCAGATTCACACTGTTTGAATTGGGCAGCCCTATAAATCCAATAAATAAATAAATATATACAATGACATATATAAGCTAGATTTTTGTAAAAACATTATTTAGTAATAACGAAGCAGAGACTAAATTTATTAGTTTTTAGTTTGGTTAAGTGCTGGAGTAGGCTGAACTTCTAAAAGCATTAATAAAGCTTCCTTCACAAAAGTTCACTTCCCTAAAATTGACAATTGCTAGCCATTCCAATATTTTAGAGTCCTCTGGTCCCATCCTTAGGCACCCTGCTGAGGCAAAGACTTACGCCAAATTGCTTCAGCCAACCTTACTGTTAGCAGATGGGAATAATTAAACTATTAATTGTATAATGAAGAGATCCCAGATTCTTTATGCCATTGAGTAGTAGATTCCTATATGGCCTTTTTCTAAAGATGTTTTCGAAGTTACGCTCAGCTCTGTGTAGGCATTACAAGGTGAGCTGAAAGGAGGGACCTTGGCCAGACCTCCTCCATCATCAAATAGATGGTGCAGTATTTCTTGCAACACACTACAGTGATGAAGCATAAAAAAAAAATTCACTTAAGTGCCTTAAGATGCAGGATCATTTGTGGTTAGAGATAATTTATAGGACAGCTTGACGTTCAGTGGATTTAACTGCCTTAAAAGAGAAACACCCCAGAGAATGAGAAGAAAACTATCTCAGAAATATGAAACCAGCAATTTAAAAATTCTATGTGTTCCCCCCCCCCCCCAAAATAGTTACTTACAGTAAATGAATCTAAGGATTAGCTGGCATTGACTTATAAGGTCAAATAAGATGCATAGTAAACCAATCTTCTAAATTTCTTAGATCACAGCCTACTGAATAAAAGACTCTTAATTCTGTGTAGAAATGTACTATTAATCATTTTCTATCGTTCACTTAATACATGAAACTTTTATTCTGCCAGGAGTGCAAGATAATAGCTTAATCGTCAAAATATAACTGGTACTGAACCCTCATCGATTCAGATGGACTGCAAACTGGTAGTTTATATTTCCTCTTCTGGAAAGTGAGGATGACATTTGCTGTCCTCCCAGCTTCTGAAATTTTACTCCAAGAGTTCTCAAATATTACTAAAATGACTCTGACATTACCTCTGCTTAGTATCTTCAGTAATCTATCTGACCCTGGTTTAATTTAGTTTATTTCTCTTTTACCCTCTCCTTGCCTATCTTATACTGCAGTTTCCCCCTACTTCTGGTGGCATAATGATGACTACCTAAGGCTTCATCTCCCTTCTGAGGGAAGACAGTCACAAAAATGGAAGTCAAGTAGTTTCTCATACCCAAGAACACTCATTGTTTTTATATCTCCTGCAAGCTTTAGCTCATTCTGAAATTTAGCAATTCTAACAGAGTTCCTACCATTTTGGAAGACCATCTCGCAGTCTTCTTCAGGTATGTCCCTCTCTTTCCATCCCCCTGCTTTTTCCTTTAATGTTTTAGAGAACTCTGCATGTATTCATATTGGCCTCTTTAGATCATTCCTGTTTTTCTTTCTTGTGGGGACTGTGTGAGACTGCACCTCTAATATACCATTTTGTAGAATTTCCCAATTGTTTCTTCCACCTCTGACTAACAAAGTTCCCAGTAGGGAGGACAAGGATAATAAGTTAGATTCCCATCAGATTATCAAGATCACTGAAAACTAAACATTATTGTTACTGCATACATCTTTGAAAAATGGTTACCAGATGCAGAAAGGCGTCATTTATTTCTTCTGTTTGCCTTGGTGGTCTACACAAAATTCCCAAAGTGGTGTTATTTTCTCTCTCTCTTGTTATTCCTAGTTTCTTTCAACATGCTCTGCTGAATTTCTGTTCAAGTACATTTTTCTTTTATGTACAATGTAGTATCCCTCCGTTCTTTCTCTTGGGTCTGTTCCTTCTGAATAAATTGCAGACTTCCATGGCTGTGTGCCAATCATGAATATCATCCCAACATGTTTCAGTGATACCCATCACATTATATTTGTCTTTGTTTTTCTGAACTAGGATCTCTAGCTCTCCCTATTTATTTCAGATACTTCATGTATTAGTGCAAAAATATAGGCATTCTGAGTCTGATCTATTGGCACTTCTCTTTTGGTATTGTTTAAAACTCATCCTAGTCTCTTCTTCTCCTTTGTGCTCTGCTTTTTTGGTCCCAATCTTTGAATGCATATTAGGTCTTGGACTTTTTCCACTCTCACCCTTTTGGTTTCATTTAATGCCCTAATGGCAAGCAATAGTAATAGCTCTTAGACTTATATACTGCTCCATAGTGCTCTACAGAACTCTCTGAGTAGTTTACAATGTCAGCATATTGCCCCCAACAATCTGGGTCCTCATTTTACCAAGCTCGGAAGGATGGAAGGCTGAGTCAACCTCAAGCCCATCAGTATCAAATTCCAAGCTGTGGGCAAAGTTAGCCTGCAACATTGCATTCTAACCACTGCCTCACCATGAGACCTAACGGTAAGACAGGCAAGATGACCTTCTTCTCAGGTTTTGTTAAAGACTTATAAGGTATCACAGCTTTTGAAATATCAGCAAGGCACTGGACTAATTCTGACATACAGTAGTTCAACATTTATTTATTAAATTTATTTGCTGCCCATCACATTGCAAGGCGCCTCTGGGTGACCTGCAAAGTTAAAAACAATAAACACACACACACACACACACACACACACACACACACACACACACACACCAAAAATTGTAAGTTATAGTAAAAAGATGAGGCGGGAAAGAACAGAGGAATACAGGGGGAAAGATGGGATCTGCTATTAATCCACTAACCACCTCCAGCGTGGCACTCCCCCATTGGGGCCCCAAGCCAACTGGCAGAGCCAGGTTTTCAGGCCCTTACGGAAGGTGAGGGAGGTGGGGGCAGATATTTTAAGTCACTGATTAAGCATCCAGTATTTTATAATCTTTTCTCAACCCTGGTGACTTCTGAATATTTAGACTTCAAATGAGCTCTCAAAGGGAGTCCTGAATCAAAATTTATAGTATAGAGTACAATATATCTAGGCTTTTCTTAGGAGGTGACAGTATACATACTGTAAGAGAAACAATACAGAAACTACTGTATGAGGAAATTAGATTGAGATGACATTTTTAAATCCTCTAGCAAACAGTGAACTTCAACTTGGGTCTTTATCTAATAGGTGTAGTCCAACATTCTAACTATTAAGCTATATCAGCTCTATATAATCACTTACATAAAGATGTCATTTAATAACTCATCAAAGGAAGGGAGCTAATAAATGTAAAGCCTTCTGAAGGAGGGAAGCTAATAAATCTAAAGCCTTCTGAGATGATGAGAATCTAAAAAGAATAAATATGATACTGTGATATATATAGTTTCTATACCTGATATGAAATCAGAATTACAGGAAAGTTTTCCAGCAGCTATATGATGCAAAGGACAGATATATGATCCTAGGAGTGACATTTTATTTTAATTATTAGGAGTTTCACTTATTTAAGGCACATGTATGAAAAATAAAAACAGATTACTAACAACCAGGTAATAAGAAAATGACACTGAACATGATTTTCTCCAGGCAGATTCCTGGCTGAACCAGTAAGAATGTAACCCAACATCGATACCTATCAATAGCCAAGAACCTGGTGCATTACTAGTGGGGTAATTAATGATGTCTTCTTTCCTCAGGAGGGAAAAAAATCTAGAGGTGGAAGGAGAGCGCCTACCTTAAAACGGCTTAGGTATTCAGGCAGTCGAAGCAGCTCGTTTTCTTCTGGCGGTGTCTGCTTCGGTGCTTCTTCTGAATCCTTGGGGTCTTCTGGAGAAATATGGGGCTCAGGTGCCGGGTGCAAAATATCTCCCAGAACATCAATCTTTGCAGCAAAAAAATAAAAACGCAGTGGATGACGTAAAGTAACATAAAAAAGTGTCCCATGTGTGAATATCTTTTCACAGTTTGTGCATCTTCCTTAACATCTTGAGAACATAACATTAAAATTAAAATCCAAACAAGTTAGGAACTAAATATCAACAACAGAGTGGGTTGAAAATAGGATGCAGTACCTTAATTTTTTGTTTTTGTTTTTACCAAATCTCTTGGTTTTAACTGCAGAAAAGAGCTTAACTTTATGTAAAGCATGTATTGTAAACTGAAAATATAAAACGGCAATGCATAACAAACTATTTAAAGGCCAAAATAGTTTTAAGAGACTGAAAATATTAAGAATTTTTAAGTTGGCTTTTTTTTTCATGTTTGCATGTTGGTTGAAGACTGATATCTGATGAAGCAGACCAGGCCTTTCTGAAATTACTATTGATTTTATTATTGACTCCAAATTAAATCACAGATGCTTTTTGCTGATAATGGTTTGAATGTTCATAACAATTACAAGAAGAGATTACAATGTATTATGTTATATAATTTCTATCTGAATTCCTGTTTTGGAAAGAAAAGGCTTCATATCAGATTGTCTATGATTTTCAACAGAATCATGCACCTATACCCTTTCTTTGATAACAAGTAAACAAAAAGCCTGTCTGAATGGAAATCTGAGTGACTCTGTATTATGAGTTTTGAATGTGTTTTCCAAAAGTTGATATTCATCAGCACTGCATTAAAAGTTACTAGAATCAAGGAATAGGGAAGATCAGCTGCATTATTAATAACTGTCAGAAGCAGAATCAGCAGTGAGGTAAGGGCGAAGAAAGCATTTTTCTGGGCTTCCTGGAATTTTTTTTCCCAAGGTAAAGATTTATTTATTAATCAATTAATTTTCTATACCACCCATGATTCTTACACGACTCTGATGATTTACGAATGGAATGGTAAAATCATATAAAAGCCATAGTTAAAAACAATTAACAAACAGAATTAAAACAGAGTTTAAAAGAACAATTAAAAAGATGAAAAAGCAGAGGGAGCACCTTCAACCCACCAACCATCTCCAAGGCTGTATGACAATCTTAGTCCCCCATGCCAGTTGATACAGTCATATTCAAGAAATGCTTCAATACATATTCAAGCTACATAAAACAATGCTGAGAATAGTAGCAACCCTGCTGCTGAGTCACAAATATACCAGGCCACATTTGCTTAAATGAGTTTTCACTTACTGCTTCCTGGCAAAGCTTCACATCTTCAGGAAGCAGAGCCACATCCTCCATTACTTTCAAGGCTCTGTTCAGATATCCCGGGGTCCACATGAGCGGCATTAGGTGGTAAACAGCTCGCAATCCTTTCTGCAGCTCCACTTTACCTATGATTTAACAGCTTTTTACTCTATTGCTTAAATGAGAAAACACAGCTAACCCTTGTGGCTAAAGAGATGTGGTGATGAATATAACACTAGAAACTATGTCAGCATTTTCTTTAAAAATGGACATGGTGTTCTAATGGGCTGCCAGAAAATTTTAACTGAGATTGTAGGATATGGAAAGGAATAGTTTAACATCTTCTTCTATGTAGGCCATAACAACAAAATCTCCTCCTCTTATTATTACAGTTAGATTCAAAGTAGAAAGCAGATACTGTACTGTACATCAGCAGTCTCAAACCTTTCTAGCTCCACAGACCGGCAGCAGTGGTGGTGGCAGCTGTGGCGGGGGGGGCACAACCTAGATTCAGGGCATGCGCAAATGAAACTTTGTGTTCTCATGTGCTGCTTGTGCACCCTGGTTTCCAATCAGCTGTGGACCAGTACTAGTCTGCAGCCCGGGAGTTGGGGACCTCTGCTGTACAAAATTCCCAGAGGGATATTAAGAAATCCATCAGGTTTTGGCTTTCAGAATGCTTTTCTAGTCCTCTGCAATTCACTAAAAACGGCCCTTAAACAATGTTGAAACAATATCTGTATAGTTCTTCTAGGAAAAGAGTGTCTGGTTTCAGTAAGTATTTCTTGGCCTAGTTGAGATTAAGTTCTATATTTTTATTTATTTGATTAATTGATTGATTGATTGATATAGTTGCCCATCTCAACTAGTGACTCTGGGTGATAAACAGATTTAAACTAAAGTAAAAACATTGGAACAATTAAAATACACAGAAATATTATAAACCAGATCACCAATATAAACCCCCTTCATGCATGTGGGGTCCCAGGCCAACCTGATCTCTAGAGTGAGAATGCTGCTTGATAGTGAGATGGACAGCATCATAAATGAATGAGCGTCTTTTATCCTTTATACAGGTATATTCCATTGGATCTGGCATAATTGCAAAATGCACATACTGATAGCACAACAGAAAATAGCTTTTGACCTTCAGAATGTTCAGGTGAATCTTTTGTCTACAGAAATAAAGCGATTTGCTAAAGCCAGTTCCTTTTTAAATTGTTCAGGGATGTATTCTAAAGATTTTAAAATGCTAATCAAAGACAGATTTTTAAAAGGATAGCTGAAGTGGGACAAAAATGTGCGAATTGGTTTACAATTTTGATCTCTACTGCAGTAGAATCCGCCACTTTTTAAACTGTACCATCAGGTAAAATCAGGATCAGCCTCTCATTCTGATACGTCATTTTCACTCTTATTACAGGTGAGAAACCAATGCATGTAAAAGGGCAACTGTCTAACACTTTTTGATAAAGCCTCTCTCTCACCTGAAGGTAGTATGCCAATTAACAGCTATTTGTAGGGGAGGGCAAGGGATTTTTAATGGACCCAATAAAGCCATTGTAAAATATAAAAGGCATTGAAACAGAGGGAATTCTGACACTGTATGTTGAATTTTAATCAAAAGATAAATGACAAAAGGAATTGAAGGGATTAGGGACTACCCTAGAGGGATCATTCTCCCTTCTTTAAATGTTAATTTAAGGTCTCTAATACTAAATAATAATTAATTTTAGAGAAATAACTTCCATACATACAAGGAGAATTTTTTAAAAAACAAAAGAGGGCTACAAAGAGGACATTTCAAACATATCTTTTTTTGAACAATCTGGCCCCAGTTCAAGTTGGGTCTAGGCCAGGGGTAAGCAACCTTGGCTCGTGGACTTCAAGAATTATGACTCCCAGAATTTCTCAGTTGAAGTCCACGAGTCATAAAAGAGCCAAGGTTGCCTACCCCTGGTCTAGGCCCTATTCAGCTTTAAACCAATAGCTAGTAATATTCCTAGTAAGTTAACTTGGAGGATACAGCAAAGGAATCTATAATGCTACATAGAAAATCTTTAATTTTGGGGCTCCAGTTAGAAAATAGCAAGGGACTTCCACATATATAACTAAGGAATAATGCCTACTTGTTACCATTTATCTCCCTTCTCAGTTTTGTGGGAAGGTGGTTGAGGGGATGAGAGAAAGACAGATCCTACCTTTTGGGCTTTTCAAATATTCAGTACAACTTTGACTAGCCAGGTGAATTTTGCATTATGTAGACTGAATGCCAGTTATGATTTGGTTCTAATTTTGTATTGTGTCAAGGTATATTAGTATTTAATTGAAGAAATTCCATTTACTCCAAGCTAATCAATAAAGCAATACAGAAATATTTTTAATTAAATATTTGTTAAAACTTACCAAGGAGGGCAAGGCCATATAGCTGAGAACTAAATCCTACAGTGTTAGTCTGCTTGAGGCCCACTAACAACAGAGATGTTCCAAGATTTTTCTCTTCTTCCCACTGTAAACAGGAAATATTGCTTGAAAAAAATGTGAAAGCAGAACAAGATTATACACCCTCCCAATTCTCTGCTTTATTAACAAAATATCTCTCCATCTATATGTGCTTCAGTAAGTGGAAGGGCTTTTGTTTAGGGCTCGCTGCACTCTAAACAGGCTTGGGCCTCCTTAATATTTAGGTAGGTAACCTTCAGGGCTGTAAACTAGACTCTAAAGCAGGGGTATCCAAACTTGGCAACTTTAAGACTTATGGACTTCAACTCCCAGAATTCCCCAGTCAGCATGGCTGGCTGGGGAATTCTGGGAGGTGACGTCCACAGCCTTAAAGTTGCCAAAGTTGGACACCCCTGCTCTAAAGTTCAAAAAAGAAATCACGGATGAACTCATGTCCAAGCACTTTTATATGGTTGCTAAGACAACTTATGGCATGTCCATAATGTAATGAGGAACTAATTACAACTTGAAAGCTTTTCTTTTCCTTTCTTGCCTCCCTTTCTTGCCATACATATATCCTCTCTCACACAGAGAACGCAAACAGCAATGTGAAAACAGTGACAGGCACAAAACAGCAGCTTCCTTCACTTGTGGATGTAAATATATGACTTCTTAAAAATCTCAGATACAAATTGAGTTTCACTAAGTTTAGGAAGAAAGATAAAAGTGAATAGCATATCCATGATATATTTCAGTTTTTTAAAACAAGACCATGAAGAAAAGGAGATGTTTGGGGAGAAGGAAGAGTAACCATGGGGTCAATCAAGGGCCGTATACCAGCTGGCATAGCCTTGCAACTTAAATTACATCTAAAGACCTTAAGTCTCTTCAATTTGGCTTTAAATCATACTTTGGAAGTATGGACATGCAGCGTCTGAATCATATTATTCTTTAGCCATAACCACAAACATTTCATTATGCAAGTAGCTTACCGTAAGTTCTGATTTGGTTGCCAAATATTTGTACATGGTATAAAGAGAGAGAAATTGGGTGGACACCTTAGTAAAATCTTCCTGTATCATTATCTCAGTCACTACATCCATAGCATCTAAAAATAATAAAAATGAGCATTAAAATGTTGCTTAAAATTTATTACAATAATTATCTCACCAATGTATTTATAGAAATGAATATATCAAACTGTTTATTTCAGATTAATATGACATAAACAGGTAATTAAAAATCCCAGTGACATCATGGGAAACAGATAAGCACTGTAAAAATTAACATCATTTCAAACTTGATATATGTACTTGACTGGATTCCCATATTAATACTTCTAATATTCAAATTAAATACCTATGTTAATACCATTTATCAGATTTATAAATTAAGGGGAAATATCTTGAGTTTTCTTTAGCTAAACTATCACTGCCATCTGATTTTGAAGTTTTTAATTTTCCTCCTTTTCAGCTTTATTCCTGGGCATACATCCTGATTTTTCCTTTACTAGAATCCAGGAGATCACATCCAAAATTCATTATAAACTTCTCCAAGAGAAGTCCCATTTACTCATTATTATACTGTTGCTAGCATGAAATATTGCAAGGTAGATTTGGAAGATACTGGGAGAAAAATTCAATTGAGTTCCCTATTCATATGATATTATGGTCTTCCCACAACCTGAAAAAAAGAAGGCTGCTTTGGTAGTATATCCTATTCAAATATCTTCTGACTTCACAGTTCGATCTAATTCTTTGGGTAATATTCAAAAAAGACAATTTCATTATTCTGGAAATGTAAAATGATGGGGAGACACTTAACATATGAAATGGACTTGCACCACTATTATTCTGTTTTAATTTAATATGCCTAAGTTTGTTGCCCAAATTTGAATCACGTAATTGCAGGGATGCTGCAACAGTCATTAAGTGCGAGGATAAGTTGTCAGTTTTCAGTGTTGTTGTAAACTTTGAACAGTTACTAAATAAATGTTTGTATTTTGAGGACTACCTATATATCTTTTTTATGAGAAGAATTCATAGTCATTGCATTAATCTTGCCACCTGCTTTACTTCTACTATCCTCTTCCCTTTAAAAAAACATATCTATTCCTGAAATCATAGCAAATTAGTTGTAAAGAAATAAACTCAAAAATAGGCATGTCCAGGAATAAAGAAATGCACAATACATATTAAGGGTGAAATATTTAATATATACATAGTACCTAGTGTTTAATAAATATGTGTTCCTTACTTTCATAGTTCTCATCTTTTATAAAAGAATCCAATAATAAATTGAAGGTAAAACTATCTGGAATTATTCCAAACTGTACCTGGAAAAAAAACGAGCAGAGAACAACGCTGTGTTAATGCCATACTTCTAATAATTTTGAATAGTGGCTTGAATGCATGACATGACTGAGCAAATCTAAAAAAATATCTATCAGTATGCATTCTGCTTCTATTTTCGCTTTCATAGATAGACATGGGAACATAAGAAAGAATTTGCAGAGTAACTTGTGTCTGAAGAAAACAGTTGTTCTACCCATTGGCTAGCACAGGCTTTGGATCAGTGTTTTTCAAACTTGGCAAAATTAAATTTTGTATATTTCAGCTCCCAGCATTCTGGGGTTGAAACCCACCCATCTTTAAAGTTACCAAGTTTGAAAAATGCTACTTCAGCTGAGGCAGCATTAATTAAGCATTGCTTCAGGAAATCCATGACAGCTTTCCCACCCCCCATCCATTAAGCTAATAAAGAAGAGAGGCAGAACTATACATCCAGCAGCCCTGATGCTATGTTTTCTTTTCATCAACAGAGATTAGGGCACATAACCATCCAGCTACATTGAATGTACCCAGCCACTTTCTACTAGTGAACTTTTACAGGGAAATGAGTACTCTAATTTTTCATTAATCACAGGCATGAGTTCTCACAGGGACACATATTTTCCAACATGCACTATATATAAATGGCCTTTGCATTCCAAGCCAAGGACAGATAGTATTCACAAATTTCTGCCATTTCATTTTGTTTCCTGCCAAGCTATGGCACATCAGGAAAGAAGAACATGTTTTGTATCCTTTCATCCAAGCTTTTAAAACTTTTAGCAATAAGAACCATTTCCTTTAACTCCACATTGACACTGAAGTATCCTGGTGCTGTTGATGCAGGAGACCTCAAAAATTTAACTTGAGTGCCAGACAAAAACATAAGAAAGTAAGTATTTCCAGGAATGTGGCTCTCGGAGCACAGAAAAATAACTCAGATAGATATTTCTGCTTTTGTTCCAAACAGTTCTCAGCTAAATAGAAGTCATCCCTTTAAAAGTTTACTGTGGTGGGCGCAGTCTGATTAAATAAACCAAGCTATATATTAAATCCCCTAATAAATTAATCACAATCTAGGCAAGAATGTTAAAGGTGTTCACTGATGGATTTCAGAGAGGGGGGGGGGAGGGAGGGAGGGAGAAATAGGCTTTTAATTACTCTTACTGAAATCAAGATAGCATTTCATTACATGGGCCAGATTATATCCATAATATGTAGAAAAGAAAGAGGACATAAAATGAAGAACTGCATCTGTCGAGGATTTCAGCATAATTAATCAATGCCCTTTCTAAAAACATACCATGACAGTAAAAAATAATTCTTAGTTTAAATTTGAAAATAGCAAGGTAATCCTTCTATTTAGGAACCCAGATGCAATTTGGAATATACAGTATTAACACATTCATTAACAGGATTAAATTATATATGTTCATTATTTCAGTAGTTGCAATCTAAGTATTATTTGCAAAAGATACCCAGAATAACAATATGTTCAATAACAGTATTTTCTGATATCAAGATATATAGTTTGAGTGCTACAGAATGCGCACCCTTATTAAATGTTTTACATTAAAAAATTAATATGTCTACAAACATAGCCTACAATAACTATTTATGAATCCTTATTAGAATATACTAATTATGTTTAAAAGATAAAGAGAAATGAAGTGAGGAATTATAGCGTTCAGTGTTCAAATGAGAGTGAAAGACCACGTGTCACACTTCTCTAGTTCTAAGGTTATATTTAAATAAAAAATGATTATTTCGTATCAATTGGTCACTTGCATATATTTTCAAAAAGAAATCAAAAGAAAGAACTAGATGGGTATAGCTCATTACTGTAGATGTGGTACTTAATATAATAAATATAAGAAGTGGCCCTATGCTGGGGGTCACTTCTATTCAACTTTTTAGGTTGTTTTGTATATTAACACGGTTCTAAAGGAATTATTCTCTTTTGTAGGTATTCTAGATCTTTTGAATTAAATATTACTGGTTTGGAAAGAATCAAGTGGAAAATGGAAATAGAAACCATATGCATTTATGGTTGTAAAAAGTTAGATTACAAGGACATCCATCTTCTCATCTATTATATAACGGTCTGAAGAACTTACTTTTTGCTCTTGGGCCAGAATTTTTATCATCAGGAATCCCAATACGAGGACTGCAAATCCCAAATTCTGGACTGCACATAATGTATATAAACATTTCCCTTTTTTTCCTTTTCTATTTTTTATGCATGCTAAGAAGACTGGTATAAAAAATTAATAATTTAATTGCGTAACATGTCAAGAATTTCCTGTGTAACATTAGTTTTGATAAGTACATGAGCAAAGTATGATTTTGTAAAGACATTTATTTTTCTCTGTTTTGCTACTTTCCTTTTTTTACATATAAAATAAAATATAATAAAATTTAAAAACCTTGTTTTGTAGAGTATACAAAGCTTTGTCCTGTGCACCAAACTTAAGGCACTTCCTAATCCAGCTGTGGATGATCCAGTCTCTTAAATAAAAGCAATTAGGACTATGACGAAACCTAAATGATGACAGAAACATCAAGAATTTTGGAAGTTAATGTTGAATTTGTGATCCCTATTGCCCATAACTGGTTCCGTACAATACAGCCAATGCTTCTAATTTTTAAAGGCATATAATTTTCAGTAAAATATTGAAACAGCTACTTTACTCAAAATGTAAGTCAACTATATTTAAAATATTTAAATGAGGTTTTGCAAATTTCTAATTTTAAAGTTTTAATTACTTGGGGCCATTTCATACATACAATCCAATTGCACCAGCTGTCAACTGGTAATCACAATCAATTCTGCCCATCAAGAAAATTACAGTATTTGAGAGATATGCAGTTTGAAACATCTTTTGTCACATTCTCACTTTACATTTTATATGAAGAACTGTTTAAATTCTAAAATTTAAATGAAAAGAATAATCATATATAATGCAATAGAAAGTCATAATTAGCCACCAGGAAAAAAAAAACATGTAAAAGCAAACTAGATTCAAAGCAGCTTTCTTTATCAGGGACTCACCACCAGAACCAGCAATTATTCATATTAAAACACCCTCTGGAATTATTTTTTGAAATCAATTAAATTGAGAAATATGAAAATAATATATCAAAAATAAAAGGGTCATTTTAACAAACAATTATTATACCTTTATCTGAAATGTTCCATTTAATTTTATTTTGTGCCAGTAGCCTTCTTAATTGCTTAATCCTCACTGGACAGTATTGAACAGCTGGGAATTGCTTTTATTCCCCATTGTGACAGACTGTGACAAGCAGGTGAAAGAGTTCAGCTGTGGCAGAAGAGGCAGCATAGCCCAGATATGGACAGCAAACAGTTCAAATGTTTAATTAGCTTGCATAAGTCAGCCTGGAAGCAATTTTTTACAATGTTCAAGATTATGCTTTTACCACTGACTGGCAGAAAGGATATATTTCTGAAATTTGTTTTCTTAGCTTTTGAATTGTTCAGCTACATGGAACATCACAGCTATCAAAATACAAGAGACAGAGAGAGAGAATATTCTGCAAACATCCTAATGTGATAGATGATGTTGTTATGGTTGCAGAAGGATCCGCCCTGAAATAATTAGTTCTCTATAATGTATGATCATTAAAGGAAATTCTGCTTGACCAAAGGTCCTCTAGGGACTCTCTTCCTAAGTAGAGAAATCCTAGTAAGCTGTTCTGGAAGTGCAAAAAGCAGTTTTATCAACTGCACAAAGAGGTTACTAAGAAGCTAGATTGCTAAGAATGTCAATTTTAACCTAAGAAACTAACGTCAGGCAAAACCACCCAAAATGGAAGAAAGATAAATAAGCTGCCTCATCAAATATTATTGGATTAGCTGGTGAAAATGTCCCACAAAAACCAAGCTACTATGTTTTACCTATTGATTTCATAGCTGCAGAGATGACATTTGGGGGTAATTGCTAGAGAGTTTTCCTGTTCTTGGAAGGATCCACTGCCAATCTCCTATTTGCCTAGTCTGTGGTTTTCTACTTCTTCTTGTGGTTGCTGTTTCTATTGAACAAATTAATAGTGTGGAGAGCACTTGTTGAACTTTCCTATTAGTCATCCAGATAGAAAACTGAGTGGCTCAACCCTGTTTCCCCGAAAATAAGACCGGGTCTTTTTTTTTTTTTTTTGCTTCCAAAAGAAGCATCAGATCTTATTTTGGGGGATGTCTTACTCACCTCTGGTATCGAAAGTCCCACCCAGGAGGTCCACTTCTTCTGGGCTGAAGAAGCAGCTTCATTCTGCAACTGCATTCCGGCCTGCATTTTGCAGTCAGACCTTTCCAGAAGGCCTCTGCAGCTGAGTACAGAGCTATGGATTCAACCCATAGTTTGGTCCTCGGCTGCAGAAGTCTTGCAGAACGATCTATGGATTGAATCCATAACTTGGTTCTTGGCTGCAGACCTTCTGGAAAGGCCTGTGACTGAGAAATGCAGGCCTGCCTGCAGAAGACGTGAGCTGGTGAGGAGAGGCCTGGCTGCAAGGTAAGTGCAGGGTGCATGGGGCAAATTCCCCCCACCCTAGCTTGATTTTTAAGTCCGTGCCTTGCCCCAAAATTAGGGCTTATTTTTGGGGTGGGGCTTATATTAGGCCAAACCCCAAAAATCAAACTAGAGCTTATTTTCAAGGTAGGCCTTACTTTTAGAGAAACACATTAGTATTTCCTACTCATTCACAGTATTTTGAGAACAGCAGAAATGAACACAATTGAGAGTCAGCTTCAAAATAATTTGTGAGGGCTGGAGAGTAGAAAGTGAGTTAAAGTTGTACAAAGTGGCTTCAATTGTACATGGCAAAGTAAATGACCAATCTAAAATTCATATTCAGGATATGGAATGGCTGCAAAACATTTCATCTAAATAACCAATGAGCAATTAAAAACACTGTTGAAGGCAATTCTGATGGTAACAGTTGCTCTGTAAAATAGATCCCAAGCATGAAATAAATGTTTTGGAATAAAAGCTCCAAATATGGATAGTCTCAAGCTTTTCCGGGTAAACCATTTGAAGCAAGCTCAAAGGGTAAAATCTCCTGGGATACAATCTAGAAAAATGAACTTTTTTCTCAGAGGAAGTTTTAATTTATTGCCAAAAGTGAACCAAAAGAAAAATACCACTGGCTGAACTGTTGAAATACCACAACATTTTAAGGCTACACAGCTATCTTACAATGAATACCAGTGGTTTGCAAACTTGGATTATAAAAAGGAAGTCTTGGTTTAAATCACACAAAAACATACAATTATCTTAAATGTTCTAATTCCTCTTCATGAACTCTCATGCTCTTATTACATTCCTAAAGGACATGTTTTATCATTTCCATAATCTTAAAGCTAGAAAAATATGGTTAACTATCTAGAGTGTACCCCTACTGCCTGTGTCATAAGGTTTTCAGGATAGACAACAGTTTAAAATAGGAAAAATCCAATTTAATAACAGAAAACAACTTGTAATGGCACAAAAGAAAATTCCTAACCATATCTTATGATTGTCTGACCCACTGACTGAAGCCTTTAAATCAGAACTGGGTAAAAATAAATTAGAATTTATTGACCAATCTCCAAATAGCTAATTCAGCTAGGATTTCTGAATTTTGGTTGTTCTAAAGCAGCAATAGAAATTTCACTCCTTTTACTTTTAATTATATTGCCACAATGGAAAGAAAACATTACTGATGGCGGGGCATTAACCAGAAGGTCTAATATTCCTTCATCTTTGTTACTCAGAGCTAATTTGTGACTTCAAATTTCTTTAATTCTAAGTATGTCCAGCTATGATGGTTCCGCTGATTCTAGTAAAAGTCAGAATAAATTTATAAATCACAGCTTTTTTTGCCACTGTGCTAAGATCCATATAATCTATAAATGACAAGGCCCAGGAATCTCTGCATCTAAATGACAGAGGCCTTAGCCATATCCCTTTTTTACAGAACATGAGGATGAATGAAAAGTACCAATCCACAGATGCTAAAGCAGCCTGAAGCTAAACTGCAGCAGTATTTAACAGCAAGAAAGATTCTTCCATCCGAATGAGCATGCTTTCCAGAACATTTATCAGATTATTATAGCCACCATCCCTTTTCACTACTGTCAAGTGAATTTCATAGAATTGTCCCTTATGGCTGAAGGCTATATATATTACCATGGGGAGAAGAGGTATGTTGTTCACTGAATAGAGTGGTTGGGTACACAGCCAAGATGTTATGTTCTGTTGCCAAGGAAAGCTATGGCAACAAAATTGTGTGTGTGTGCATAGTTTCTTAAGTGACTGACTGTTCCTTCTTTTCAAATTAATTTTATAATACACAGACTCACTCAAAATCAAGTTATCAAGATCCATTTGGTTGATCTAATTGCTTGACATACTTCCACTTGAACTCTGATATTAAGAACAAAAAAGATTCTATATTTGTTTTCATTAGAGGACTGCTTAAAAATTGCTTGCAGGAAACATTGGTTATATACGATCAAACTGAATTATGATTTGATGTATCAGTTATTTAACTGGTACTGATTGATTTGCTAGTTACACATGATTAAAATATGAATAATTGAATCCCATTATAAAGCAGAAAGAATGTTATGATCCCAAAAGTCACTGAAGAACAAATGCAGGGGATGGTAAATTCACACATAATAATCTCAGCTGGATTGCAGGATCAGGTAAAGAAGAGAAACAAATGTCATAGCTAATTAAATTATTGGCATGCCTACAACTGCATGTATGCAAGGGTCTGCATATGCAATGATTAAAAATGCATAACTTGTATATATGTAAAAATGTAAAACAAATCATTCACTATGGTGATTTATTTAAGGTTAAATTGTTGGACTATTCATAATTTCCTATAAAAAAAAAGCCAATCAGACCATGAAAAAGAGAACTGTTTCAAGCCTTTGTTTATCTTTTTGCTGCTATATGGTTCCCTTCAACAAATCAGCATTTAAATAATTTAAGAGGTGTGTCTTTTACTGAATCACCACCTCTTAAAGAGATTTTCAAGTAGTATAATGTGAAAACAAAAAGTTGAATTCCTTTGAATATAACATTTAAATAATTATACTTCATTGATTTTCATTATTTAACATTAAATATTAAATGTTTAATTATTTGAAATATTTTTACAGCATATAATATTTTCATTGTGCATTACACTGTGCATTTCTCTGATAATTTTTTACAAATTATGTATCATAACACACTCAGTCATTTTGAAGCATTTGGCAAGGATTTTTTTCTTCTTGAAACAAATTTGTATCACTACCTAATTAGACATAAAATCAGTTACAATTATAGAGAATTCTGATAAATAGCAGAGAGATTGAGTGTGATGAATACTGCTTTGTAATTCCAATCTTCCCACTAGCTGTCTGAATTAAGAGTATTCTTTTCAATTTGGCTCCACACAAGCAAAGCTGAAAGAGAAATCCGTTTATTTATCATAAAGAAATTTTCCCTCAATTAGCGCTCTACAGATCTGTTGAAATACAGATC